GTGTTTCCCCATATGCAAGACATGTTAGGTATGCTGATGTTAGGACTGAAATCATCATATTAAGAAATAGACATCATTCTTATTATTTTAAAAATCAGAAGCACATATTGCATTTTGTTGATCAACATCAATGCAAGAATCATCCTTGCATTCTTGGAATAAAATCTATTTGGTCATGATTTTACATATATGTATATTTGCACTTGTACATGTGCACTCAAAACTTAGGCATCATCCTTGATTCATTTCTATCATCATACTTCACACTCAATCCATCAGAAAAGCTTGCTAGTGTTACCTTTTGTGTACAACCCTAATTTGATCATTTTCTACATTTTTCAGCTCTAGCATTCTATCCCAAATCTGTATTGTTTTTATATGAACTAACACAATAGTCTCCTCTATTGGTTCCTCCAAATGGTTCCTCTATTTCTTGTCTTCTACCCTTACAGTCTTTTTTGCACAAAAATCCCTTTAGTAGTTTCTTATCCTGCTTAAAATAAGATCCAGTATCCTTACATGGTCAATAAGGTCCTACTGTTTTTTAAACCTGGTCCCTACCTATATTTCCACCTCTCCCTCTCATTCACTTTCCTCCAGCTATACCAGCTTTCTGCCCATTCAACACACCAAGCTTATTCCTATCTCAAGATCATTTACTTGGTATTCTACATCTTTTCCCTGGAATGTTCTTTCCCCAAACCCTCTGATGGCTGTTTTGCATTAGGTAGGACTTTGCTCAAATGTCACATTAGCATAGATACCGTATTTTCCCAAATACCTTTCTTTAATGTAGGGCTACCTACCTCTCCCACCCTCCAATTCTCCAATATTCATTCTCTCCTACTTTACTTTTCTCCATAGAACTTACCTTATAAGCATCTGAAATTATATTTTATTGTTTATTTGTTTACTGTTTGTCTCTCTTATCAGAAAAGTTTTGTCTTATCCACTGCTGTATCCATAGTACCTGACACAAACTAATCATTCAATAAATATTTAGTGCATAAAGGAATGGAATAAGAAGCAAAAAAGAGAAGTCAGAAACACCAGCTATAGCAGCCAACTGCCCAACTGCGTAAAGGTGGACTGTTACCTCCACCTTACTTGCTGAATCATAAGTATGTACGTGGTATGTGTTTAAAATTAACCTCTTTTTGGCTGGGCACGGTGGCTCATGCCTATAATCCCAGCACTTTGGGAGGCCAAGGCGAGTGGATCACCTGAGGTCAGGAGTTGTGGACCAGCCTGGTCAACATGGTGAAATGCCGTCTCTACTGAAAATATAAAAATTAGTCAGGTGTAGTGGTGCGGGCCTGTAGTCCCAGCTACCCAGGAGGCTGAGGCAGAAGAATCACTTGAACCTGGGAGGCTGAGGTTGCAGTGAACCAAGATCGCACCACTGCACTCCAGCCTGGGCGACAGAGCAAGACTCTGTCTCAAAAATAATAATAATAATAATAATAATAATGATAATAATAATAAATTAAATTAACCCCTTCTCTTAGCTTTTTCTTTTTAAAGCTTTCCTTTTTTTGCCACTGTTGTAGGTAGAGTATATTCCTTTTTCTTTCTTTTATAGGTTGACAGAACAAAAAGAGGAGTAGATATCACCCAAATATCCTAGAGTTACAGCTGAATGCATTAACTAGATCACAGCATTAACCCTCCCCTGTGAGAGGGTATGAGTATGTTTTGGTTGCATATGGAATAAGTTCACTGTGTTGATCAGTACGTTTTCAAACTGCATGTGTAAGAGGAAGAATGAGAGAGTTTGTTGAGTAGCCAAAAGCCACATTGTCATTTCTGCCTAACTAACTTCCATTATTCCTTCTTTGGTAACAGTCCCTAATTTCCCTTTGGGAAACAATTACTCCACTTTTACTCATGCAAGTGAGACTGTCAGCCAAGGTGTCCTTCCTTCTTTTGGTCCAATGGGTCATATGACCCTTCCTGGACAGAAATACAACTCTTCCATAAAATTTGGAAAATATGGGAAAATAGTTAATTTGATACAAAATTCCAGTGATTCCTTAAAGAAAATGGTCATTAGTTCCAGCTTCAGTTTTATCTTTTCTGAAGTACGCTTCCTCAGCTTATCTTTTAATTTTGTTAGCTACTCCACATCTTTTCTTAATAAATCTTCTGTTCTGTTTGTTAGCCAACAAAAATACCCTACCTGGAATACCTAAAACTATTACTTCTTTGTTTGAAAAATGTGGCTAATATTGAGAAAATTTTGGTGCGAAGATTAAATGAGATATTCATTCAAACATTCAAATATTGGAGTACTTCCATTGACCAAGCCTGTTAGGGATAGAGAAACAGAAGATACAAACCCAAAGTGAAGGAGTGAAAGAGTGAGGGACATAACATTATGTAGAGATGTGAACTGGACCTCTTGTGAAGAGATGGTCTTTGATACAAGAAACACTTCCTCCATTGTATTACATTGACCCATATGAAACTGGCATGTTCAACCATTTTTGAAAGATAAAAGTAAAAATTTCATATAGTTCAATGTAATGGTAGAAAAGAAACAAGAGAAAGCAGCTACAAATGCATTTAGATTTATAGATTTAGTGGTGGGAATTTAAAGAAGCACCTGTCTCTCCCATTGCTTCTCGGCCTTTTGGCTAAGCTCAAGTGTAGTATCTGTTCTTATCAGTTTAATATCTGATTCATCCTCTATCCGAGAAGAATATATTTATGGATTTTTGGAGTAGGGAGATGGAATAGGAGCTTGCTGCATCCACTCCACGCATCGACCTGGTATTGCAGTACTTCCAGGAACGGTGCACTCCTCCAGAAAAAAAAAAAAAAGAAGAAGCACATGTCTTATTTGTATATAAAATACCTAGAGTAACAGACACTCAATAGTTTATTTAGGTATAGATTACTCTTTGAAATAAATTCATGAAATATGCTTTCCTAAAGGATTTTGTATAGAGGAGAAACATTCATCACCGTTTTTGGATATTCCTGGTGCTGACAAGAAAGAGAGTTGTGTCTCGAAATCTTTAATTCTCTTGTTATCTTTCTGCACAAGATACTAGATTTTTTTTAATCCTCAAAAATATTTAATTTGACCAGCCTAGCCAACATGGTGAAACCTCATCTCTACTAAAAACACAAAAATTAGCCAGGCGTGGTGGTGGGTGCCTGTAATCCCAGCTACTCGGGAGGCTGAGACAGCAGAATTGCTTGAACCCAGGAGGCGGAGGTTGCAGTGAGCTGAGATCACACTACTGCACTCCTGCCTGGGTGACAGAGCGAGACTCTTCTGAAAAAAAAACAAAAAAATTTAATTTAGTTGACTTAAGCCTAGGGGAAAAAAAAAAAATATATATATATATACACACACACACATATATATATAAACACATATATTATATATATTTATATATAAACATATATTATATATATAAAACTAGATTTTTATATATATATATATATATAGAGAGAGAGAGAGAGAGAGAGAGATATCACTTGAGGCCAGGAATTTGAGATCAGTCTGGGCAAACATGGCAAGACCCTATCTCTAAAAAAAGCAAAAACAAAAACATACATATATTATTAAATAATAAAATATATATATTTAGTCCAGGCGCAGTGACTCACACCTGTAATCCCACACTTTGGAAGGCCGAGGCAGGTGGATCACCTGAGGTCAGGAGTTTGAGACCAGACTGGCCAACATGGCAAAACCCTGTCCCTACTAAAAATACAAAAACTAGCCAGGTATGGTGGCGCACGCCTGTAATCCCAGCTACTCAGAAAGCTGAAGCAGAACTCGCTTGAAGCCAGGAGGCGGAGGTTGCAGTGAACTGAGATTGCACCACTGCACTGGGTGACAGAGCGAGACTCTGTCTAAAAAAAACAACAAAAAAATTAATTTAGCTGACCTAAGCCTAGGAAACAAAAATATAGATAGATAGATCGATCGACTGATCACTTGAGGCCAGGAATTCGAGCTCAGTCTGGGCAAACATGGCAAGACCCTGTCTCTAAAAAAATCAAAAACAAAAACATACATATATTATTAAATAATAAAATATATATATTTAGGTCGGGCACAGTGACTCCCATCTGTAATCCCAGCACTTTGGGAGGCCGAGGCAGGTGGATTAACTGAGGTCAGGAGTTTGAGATCAGCCTGGCCAATATGGCGAAATCCTGTCTCTACTAAAAATACAAAAACTAGCTGCATGTGGTGGCGCACATCTGTAATCCCATTTACTCAGAATGCTGAGGCAGAAGAATTGCTTGAAGCCAGGAGGTGGAGGTTGCAGTGAGCTGAGATTGTGCACTCCAGCCTGGGCGACAGAGTGAGACTTCGTCTCAAAAATAATAATAAGAATAAAAAATAAAATAAAGTAAATAAAACAAAATAAAATGTTGTTCCAAAATTTAAAACACTGTTCTTTTGAATATTGCCTTACTGCTATATTTAAAGATTGCTGCTGCCTTTAAACTATCACTGGTTTTTTTTGTAAAGGTCTAGAGTAGACTATTACCAGATTTAAGAACCAATTCTGGAGCATTACTATTGGTAGTGGTCTACCTGAAGTCTCAGCCTGTTTTGCCAGCCCTTTCAGAAGGAGGTCCAACAAAGCTGCTGCTGCGGTACTGTGCGCTGCTAACAATGCTAGCACACTGCCATCAGAACAACCCAAAGGCTCAGTAGGTGTGTCCAGATGGTGGAACTATATTATAAGAGAGGCTGACAAAATAAGTCTGTGGCATTTTCAGCTTCTGTAGAGAGAGGAGTCTCTGCCTCAAAACCAAAACTGAAAAATGAGGAACTCCCCGTACAAAGGAAGGGGGCTAAGATTTGTACTGTTTAAAAAGATCGATAAGTTTTCACTACGATACATAATAAATTCAACGATGAAAGATATACACAGGGTGCTGAGAGGAACTGAAATGGGTTTCCAAAAGGATCATAAAGGTCACATATAAACCTTTGATATCAACAGAATACAAAATTAAAACCTTACCTTGTAATAACGAAAATAGTCCCTCTCTTGCAATTTTTTTATTTTGGGGAAGATTTTGTAGGTATTGAAGTTATCGATGCTGTCAATATCACACAAGCAATCATCCAGAACTCCAGTGACCTAGAATTTATAGAATTTAAAATATGTAAACTACTGATGTTTCAACCTTAACAAATCTACACTATTATATAAAAATGTAATTTATTCGTTCAAATTAGCCAGTACTTGCTGATTAAGACATAATATTAAAGCAGTCAATTTACTTTTTACTGTGGTCAATGAAATAAAAAAACAATAGAAAGATCAGCTATATCTATTTGTAAGAACATTTTTCTTTAGCACTTGAAGATTATTGAATTCTCCTTCCTCTACTTAAACATATATGAAATCCAAGTGGCCACTGGAATATGAAGGCAGTATCTTCCCAACCTAACCTAGAAGTTACAGACTGTAATAATATTGCTGTAGTAACCCATGTCTTTTATCTTTCCTTTATGCGGCCATTTATGGAACACTTACATGATAGGCACAGTATTAAGAGCTTTATATTATCTCATTTCCTCTTTAAAAGTATTCCATGAATGAGGTATTATAATCTTCATATTACATATAAGGAAATTAAGGTTTAGTAGCCTTATAGTAATTTTTCCAGAGTAGAAATGGAACTTACTCCCAATCTATCAGACTTTAAAATCTATGATCTTATCCACTATTCAAAGATTATTTGCTAATCCAAGAAGAGAAATTGGTATTTCCGAAGTGAATTTAGAGTCCCAAAATTCCATAAAACAATCTTCAGCTAAATTAAAAATGGAACTCATTGACTGATATGCACAATCTGGATTTATCTTCCAGGAATTATCCTGAATGAAAAAATAAGCCAAAAGGTTACACGCTATATGATTCCATTTACAGAACACTTTTTAAATGAAAAAAATTTAGAAAGGGAAAGCATATTATCTGTTGCCAGGGATTAGGGACTAGGGAAGGGGATGGAAGGTGGGATAGGTAGGGTAGGAAGGAAATAGTGTGGTTGTAAAAGGGCAACAGGAGGAATATCTGTGGTGACGAAACTGTTCAGTATTTTGACTGTGATGGTGAATACATGAACCTATGTATGTGATAAGATTGTATGGCACTAACACATACACACACAAACAAAACAAGTAAAACTGGGAGAATCTGAGTAAGATCAGTAGATTCTATCACTGTCAATGTCCCAGTTGTAACACTGAACTACATGTTTACAGGATGTTACCACTGGGATAAACAGATAAAGAGTAAATGGAATTTCTGTGTTATTTCTTGCAATTGCATATGAACTTACAACTAAAATCTTCAAAAAACAAAAAATGGGTCTCGGCCTGTTTAAGGTTATTTATATGGTCCATAGGAGGAATATATGCGAGTAATGGTCAGAAAATGGAAACCAGTCCTTGCAAGCTGTTTCATTCTCACTCTCCCTCCCTAGGAGTATAAATGTGCCCCAGACTCCCTTCAACAGAGTTAGGGCTATATTATCTTGAGTTAAGTGATCATTATCAGAATTTTGGCTCTAGAATTATATTTACTTTGCTGTCCGACTCACTAGGATCCTATCACTAACTCCCAAATTTCATTCCATTGCTCTCACTTACTACTTACAAGACAGCGAGTTCTACTTTTTTCTTTCAGCTCCCCCGCAGTCTGAAATATGTTTGTAAAGACTTCAAATGCTAGCCCCTAAACAGGAAAAAAATACAAACCAAAAAGCTCTCTAGGTTTTAAAAATATTTTATCTACTGATATATATAAAATATATACATATAATTTTATATATATATATAATTAAATAACAAAGTAAATGCTGCCAGTATCCTTTAAGCTCCTCTTTAATTACATCTATCTCCCTTTCTCTAAAGGTAGAAATAAATCTTGTTTATGTTATCAATTTTTCTTTTTCTGGTAATGCATCCCTAAACAATATGCTTGAGTTTTTTTGTTATTTCTTACAAATTTTTCTTCAATTGTTGACTTTTAGTTTATAAAGCACCATATTTTACTTCTTTAAAACATTTTAATTGTGGTAGGGGATGGGTTCACCAAGTTGACATGTCCATATTTATAACCTTTAAAAGACGACTGAGACAGACACCTGTGTGTCACTAAAAGCTTCTAAACACTGCCAGTATCATATTAAAAAGTAAAACAGAAAAACAGATGTTGGCAAGGATGTGGAAAAAAGGGAATGCTTATACACTGTTAGTCGGACTGTAAATTAGTTCAACACCTATGGAAAACAATATGGAGATTTATCAAAGAACTAAAAGTAGAACCATCATTTGACTCGGCAAACCCACTACCGGGTATCTACCCAAAGGAAATCATTATATCAAAAAGACACCTGCACTTGAACGCTTATCACTGCACTATTCATAGTAGTGAAGTCATGCAATCATCATGTAGGCAAGTGCCCATCAACGGTGGATGGAATAAAGAAAATGTGGTCCATGTACACCACGGAATACCAAGTAGCCATTAAAAAAAAGAAATCATGTCCTTTGCAGCAACATGGATGCAGCTGGAGGCCATTACCCTAAGTGAATTAATGCAAAAGCAGAAAATCAAATACTGCATGTTCTCGCTTATGAGTGGGAGCGACAATGAGTATACATGAACATAAGGAAGGAAACAACACTGGGGACCCCAAAAGGGGAGGACAGGGGGGGACAAGAGCTGAAAAATTCCCTTACCCATGTAACAAACCTGCACAAGTACCCCCTGAATCTTAGGAAAAATATAAAAAATAGAAATAAATAGTGCCAGTATCCTTTAAGCTCCTCTTTAATTACATCTACCTCCCTCTCCGTAAAGGTAGAAATAAATCTTGTTTTTGTTATCAATTTTTCCTTTTCTGGTAATGCATCCCTAAACAATATGCTTGAGGCTTTTGGTCCCCGTTTCTGAACTTTAATGTTAATGGAATCTAATGTGTGAATTTTTCTGGGATGTGCCTCTTTGGCTAACACTTTATTATGGCATCTGATGATGAAGTTTGTAGTACCTCATTCGTTTTCCCTGTTGCAAGTGTTACATTTTATTAGAATATCATAATTTCTCCATTCTACTCTTGATGCATACAGTAGACAGAATGCCCCACCCCCAAGATGTCCCTAATTCCTGAAATATGCAAATATATTATTTTTGCATGGCAAAGGGGACTTGAAAGATGTGATGAATTTAAGGATCTTGAGATGGGAAGACTGTAGTGGATTATTCAGGTGAGATGAGTATAGTTCCAAAGTTCTTCATGAGAGAGTCAGAGTCAGAGAGAGACTGGAAAATGCCATACTGCTGGCTCTGAAGACGAAGGAATAAAGAGGCCATAAGCCAAAAATCACAACAATATCTAGAAGCTTGAAAAGGAGCCTCCAGAAGGAAATGCAACCTTGCTGACATCTTGATTTTAACCCCGTAAATCCCATTTTCAGAATTCTGGCCCCCAGAACCACAGCATAATAAATTTATGTTGTTTTAAGTCATTATATTTGTGGCAATTTGTCACAACAGCAATAGAAAATTACCGCAATCCATATTTAGATTGTTTCCAGATTGGGCTAAAGAACATTGCTACACAAACGGTTTTGGACACATACCCTGGTATAAAAACACATGCAAGAGTTTCTCCAGGTTGGGCCAGGCACAATGACTCACACCTGTAATCTTAGCACTTTGGGAGGTGGACACAGGAGAACTGAGACCAGCCTGGGCAATATGGCGAAGTCCTATCTCTATAAAATTGCAAAAATTAGCCAGGTCTAGTGGTGAGCATCTGTCGTCACAGCTACTCAAGGGGCTGAGGTGGGAGGATTACCTGAACCCAGGGGATCGAGGTTGCAGTGAGCCAAAATCACACCACTGCACTCCAGCCTGGGGAAAAGAGCCAGACCCTGTCTCAAAAGAAAAAAAAAAAAAAAAGTTTCTCCAGGTTATATGCTTAGGAATGGAACTGCTGTAAGTATATGTTCAGCTTTTTCAGGAAATGGCAAAATGATTTCCAAAACAGTTGTACCAATTGACCAGTCCCCCAACAATGAATGGGAGTTACTGTTGAGCCATATCCTCACGAATTTTTTTTTTTGAGACAGAGTCTCCCTTTGTCACCCAAGGAAGAGTGCAGGGTCTCAGTCTTGGCTCACTGCAACCTCCACTTCCTGGGTTCAAGTGATTCTCGTGCCTCAGCCTTCCGAGTAGCTGGGACTACAGGCACATGCCACCATGCTCAGCTAATTTTTGTATTTTTAGTAGACATGGGTTTCACCATGTTGGCCAGGCTGGTCTCAAACTCCTGGCCTCCAGTGATTAGCCTGCCTCGGCCTCCCAAAGTGCTGGGATTATACGTGTGAGCCACTGTGCCAGCCCATATCCTCACTAATATTTAACATTAATCTATGCTTTAATTTTTGCCAATCTATTTAGCATGAAAAGTTATCTTTTTTCTTATTTGCACGAATGAGGTACAATGTTCATATGTTTTACAAGACATTTATATTTCTTCTTGTGTAAAATGTCTATTTATATCTTTGATTCACTTTTCTGTTAAGTTATCTTCTTCATACTGATCTGCAGAAATCAATACTGCTTCTTCCCTATTCTATTATTTTAGAACTCCAATTAGACGTATTAGACATTCTCACTCTATTCTCCAGGTATCTTAAGTTCTCTTTAATATTTATTGTCCCATTGTCTCTCTAGATTTCATTCTGAATAATTTATTTGCATCTATCTTCCATTCACTTATTCATTAATTCAGCCTATTTACTGAGGCCCAACATAACATTTGCACTGTTTAAGTGCTGGAGATATAAAATTAGAAAAAAAAAAAAAAAGACAAAAATCTCTGCCCTCAAGGAGTTTACATTCTCAAAGGGAAAAGGGGGTGCAAAATGAATGAACAAGTACAGAATGTCAGATGGTAATAAAGTGATATAGAAGAAACCTAGGGACTGGAAACAGACTGCAGAACTGGGGCTGCTAACCATTTAAAACGGGACAGTTACAGAAGGTGTCAGTGAAATTTTGGCGAGGAGTAAGACATGCAGGTATGGGGGGGCGGGGGAGACAGCATTCCAGGCACTGGG